GGTGCGGACAGCTCAGCCTGGGATGCTAGCGCCTGCCTTCGATGCGTTCTGAGGCCTCTGCGGCCTTGCTGCTCACGTTGAAGACCGTCCGCGTCACCAAACACTTGGTGACTTGGGGCTGCCCAGTGTCCACGCCGCCTTCCTGGTGGGAGCGATGCCCGTCGTGTGAGTCGCCACGGGCGGCAGGGTCCAGCTATCCTTTCTTCCCTTGGGGGCAGCTGGGATGCCGAGCCCAGAGCCAGGGCGCGCCGCGAGAGCGCCCCCTGGAGCAAGCGAGGCGGATATGCAGGGACCTGAGCCGGCCTTGACGCGGTGCTGCCACCCATCCCCACTCCCCGCTGCTGAAGGTCACCAGAGGTGGTCGTGATCGCTGGCCACCTCCCTGTGGGGCCCAGGCACTTTTCTAGGGGTTCCTTCCAAGTGCCACAGGTAACTGTGAGGGACACCCGATCAGAGCAGCGACCTGTAGTCTGTGGAGCGAGGGGCTGCGGCGTAGCAAGAAGTGAGGTCAGGACCCAGGTGTTGAGAGTCAGGGGGTGTGACCCGAAGGAAGTTTCCACAACCACAGGACGCGATCTGGCCGAGTTTTCAAAGTAGTGGAGGACCTACGAGGCCTGGTGAGCTGTCACGTGGGAGCCTTACCCGCCAGGCCGACCGCGGTCCCCACCAGTGAGCACTCGGGGAGGAGCCGGGGAGAAGAGCCGCCTGGGCCGGCGCCGGCCACTTCTACGAGCAGGGGGCTTAGTGCCCTCTCACCCCGAGGGCCACCTCGCAAGTGCCCTTTCTACCCTGTGGGACCCTGAGCGGAGCCCTCAGACCCTCGACCTCATACCCCCGCCCCCGACACCTGGCCAACCTGCAGCCTCTGCTCCTCGCAGCGGTTCGCCCCGCGCCCACCCTTCCAGTCCTCTGCGCCCGGCCACCCCGCCGCCACGCGTGCGGGTCCCAGGCGGCGCACGCAGCCCGTGCCTCCCTGCGAGCGCGTGTCCGCGTCCCCGTCCCTTGCGCGGGCCGAGGGCCCGCCCCGCCCCCGCCCGGCAGCACCGAGAGCGGGACGCAGCCCTGGGCGGTGGCGGCCGCCGCAAGCTGCCCTCGGCTCTGGCGTCACAGGCCAGGCTCGGGCGCCTCCGGCTGCGTCCGCAAAGGGAGGCGGTTTTTAAGACGCGGAGGGGCCGGGGGTTTGTCCAGCGCGGCCGGTTCGCGTCTCGGAGCTGGGAGCTCGGCGCCGCCGGGGACCCGCGGCTGACGGCGCCCTCGGAGGAGGGGACCCGCGGCGGCGGACAAAGGGGCGCGGGCGGGGCTTCGGCGGCGGGGGCGGGGCCTGACGTCCGGGGCTGGCGCCCCGCCCCCCGGATGGCCCCGCGCAGCCACAACAATAGCCGGGGTGGCCGCTCGCCCCCGCTCCCCGCTCCCCGCGCTCGCGCCTCCGCACTGGCTGCGGGGCCCCAGCGAGCTCATCGATGTTTACAGAAATTCGGTTTCGGCGCACACGCAATTCTTTTAAAAAGGAAACGCGACCGCGAGCCCCGGCCGCCCCCGCGCGGAGGTCCCCGGCCGCTGTCGCCCCCGTCCGGCCACAGGCCGGGGCACTCCGGGCTGGCGGCTTCCGCGCGCGGCTGCCACCAGAGGGCGCCCCGACGCCGTCGCCCCGTCCCTGGACCCAGGAGGGCCGGATCGCTGTGTGACCTCAGGGCAGGTGCTGGCCCTCCCTGTGCCAGGGTTTCCCGTTTTTCTCTAACCTGGGCGACTGGAGGGTCCCCCGGCCCCCTCTCTGGTGGCCCCGTGTATGGACCTTCCCGGAGCAGGCACAGACCGGTGTGCTGGGTTCGCCAGGCCTGCCTTCAAGTGCGTCGAGCCGACCAGCCTCCCTGCCAGAGGTGGACGGAGGGCTGTTGGGAGGAGAATGTTTTTACCCTTCAGAGTTCCTTCTGGCCCGTCTGCGAACGACACTGACACGAGACAGAATTTAATCTCGTGCCCACGGGAACCCCACGTACACGAGAGGTTCAAAGAGAGGAAAGGTAGAGAGAGGCGTTTGCCATCTCGAGCCGGGGGATGGGCTGGGGGGCCCCCGGGGCGTCAGCGCGCAGGGCGGGGCTTGGTAAGGAGAGGGGTGCCCTGCCCGCAGGCGGGCCTCGGATAAAGTCTGTCTCCGGCCATAACTCTTCATTCTGGGCAGGACCCCCAGTGTTCCTTCCAGGGCGTTAGGGGAGGGGCACAAGTGTCCTTGAGTCGGCCCCATCTTGGTGACCTTGATCTCAAACAGTCCGCGTGCCAGAGGGACACGTTTCGGGGAGACTTGGGCTCCTCAGTCGGTACCAGTTTCCTCCTCGCCCTTCCGTGTCCTTTCTAGCGGGGAGTCAGGCCTCCCTCTCCGGTCTCCGTGTGGAGCGAGGACCCTGTGGGAGGAGAGACCCCAGCAAGCACTTGTCTGAGCGGGGGCGGCCGCGCTGCCCTTCCCTGGACCACACGCTGCGGGGCGGGACGCCCATTAGCAGATCCCACTGCCCGTTCGTTGACGTCCCTGAACTTTGTGAATTTTTCCTGAGTCCGAAGAGGCGGCCTCTCGGCCCCCTGGGCTGCGGGAGGAGGCAGAAGCCAGGGAGGCCGGTCTTGGGCTGGGCCGCAGCGGGCAGGGCCTCTTGACTGCGCCTGCCTGGCGCCTCCCCTGGGGGTGATGCCCACCTGGGGCCGCCCGCTTGCCTTCCCCCCAGCCCCCCACTGTCCCGGACCCCTGCGGCCCGGGAGGGTGTAGAGGCCATTCAGGGGAGACCGGCCCGTCCTCTGGCGGCAGGTGAAGACACTGGCGCCGCAGGTCTCCTTCATCCTGTTCTATTCTTCATGTATCTGTTCTGCCCGCAGCTCTGACACGTCATTCGTTTAAAAATTTTTAATGTTTATGTTTGAGAGAGACAGAGATGCAGAGTGCGAACGTGGAGGGGCAGAGAGGGAGGGAGACACAGAATCCAAAACGAGTTCCAGGCTCAGAGCTGTCAGCACAGAGCCCGACGCGGGGCTCGAACCCACGAACCGCGAGATCATGACCTGAGCTGAAGTCAGACATTCAACCTACTGAGCCATCCAGGTCCCCCCTGACATGTCATTTGAATCGGGCTCTCCTGGGGGGGGGGAGTGGCGGGGTGGGGGGAGATAGAGACGTTTTTAAAGGATCCACAGAGAGCGCTTCTTACTTCCTAATACTGGGGCCAAGAACTCTGATTTCCTCGCTTGCTAGCTGTGTGGCCTAGGACAAGTCACTCAGCCTCTCTGAGACTAGGGGCGCCTTGCCCAGAGACCTCCGCTGGGAGTGTCGGCCAAAGGCTGTGAGAGGCTCCCAGCGGCACGTTCTCCGGCCACAGCGGGACCGCCTGGGACTCAGGGCTGAGCACGTAGCCTGGACCGTCCTCCCGGAAGCCCCTGGTTCTTTCTTCCATCTTCCCACCCACCCCGCCCCTGGGGGGCGTGACTGGTTATCCACTGACTGGGGACCCCCGGCTGGAACAGGGACAGATGACCCTGCGGAGTCAGGAGGCCTCGCCCCGCCTGCCTGAGCCCCTGAGGGCCCCTCACCCGCCCCCCCAGGGCCCGCTCTGGCAGGTAGGCAGAGCCCCTCCCGGCCCCCTGACATGCTTCACCCTGACCTTCATCTCCTTCAGACCCTCCCCCCAGAAAGGCCCTTTCACTCCTCCTGCTACCTATCAAAGCAGGTGGCCCCCCTCAGGAGTCTCTTCCTCCCTTCTCCCTCCCCCTCCTCCCCTCTCCCCCTCCTCCCCTCTCCCCCTCCTCCCTTCCCCTCCAACCTCCTCCTTCCCTTCCTCCCTCTCCCTCCCTCTCCTCTCTTCCCACACACCGTGGACAGCAGCCCAAGGCCGGAGGGGTGACAGATGTCACAGAGCATCGCCCCCCCCCCGCGGCAGCCCTAATTACCTTGCCCATCCTGGAGGCTGCAGGTGTGCCGCCCCCTCAGGATGGCTCGGCTCCCCCACCTTCATCATCACTCCTCTGTCAGTGTCGGGGGCTCCTTTAATGACCCCCCCCCCGGACAGCAGGCATTGCCCCGCTGGAACCAGTCACCGAACTGGGGAGGGTCCCCCCAACTTCTGGCTCCCCCCCAAGGCTACCAGCCCTCGCATCATCCAGGGTCCGTCTGGCATTGTCCCCCTCCCGACTGGCAAGCGGGGGCCTCCCCCAGGGACAGGGGTCACCCTCAGTGCTGCCTGGAGGTGGGAGTCTGAGACTCCCCAGAGGTGGGCCGATTTCCCGACGGGGAGGGCAGCGGGGCTTTGGGACAAGGCGGGAGGATGGAGAGAGAGACACTTTTATGATCCCAGGAGACAAGGCGACGGGAGGCCACCAGCACCTGTCCCGCGGGGCCAGGGATGAGTCGGGCAGGTCGCGGTTCAGGCCCATCGAGAGCAGCAGGCTGAGCCTGATGCTGGGGGCCGGGCAGCCGGGGGACGCCCCCGCACCGGGTGGCCTGGCTCCCAGTCTCCGGGGCCTGGCTGTGGCTTTCCCCTCGATTCCAGGGCCTCCCCGTGTCCCGCGGCCGCTCCCCTCTCTCCCGGCTCATTGTCACGTGTGCCCTGGTCCAGGACAAGGCGGGGGGCCCACTGTGGCCCCGCCCACCCCTCGCCGTGGCCGTGGCCGTGATTGTTTTCACCTTCAAGCTGGAGCCGCTGGAGCCTCACAGGGTCTTATCCTTGTGACCCATCGGATGCGGGCCTGGCGAGGGCGAGGGTCTGACTGGCCACCTCACATCCTGAGAGCGAGCCCCACGGACCCCGGGCTTTGGGGTCCTGCGGAAGAAAGTTAAAACCCGTGGATCGGCCCCATGTTGGCTTTAAAATGTGCCCCCCAATTCCTCGGCACGACTCCCTTCAAAAGATGGCGCGCGATCCCCTCCCCTGGGTCGCGAGCTGGACCTGGTGACTCACTGGGCGCGAACAGGATGCGGACGTGTGACGTCCGAGACCGGGTCACAAAGGGTGTCTCGGCGACCGTGTAGCTCCTTGTCACTGGCCTTGCTCGCTCTGGGGGAGGGGCCAGCGGGTCGTGAGGGCCCTGTGAGCCACTTTGGAGAGGCCCCCGTGGAGGGGCCGAGGCTCCCGCCAACAGCCGCTGCGGGAGCGGCCCTGGGGGGTGAGCCCTCCCACCCCGGTCAAGCCTTCAGATGACTGTGGCTCGGGTCCCATCCTGACTACAACCTCCTGAGAGACCCTGAGCCAGAAAAAGCCAGACCTGAACTCCCACATAAAATGTGAGGCATAACCAAGGTATTGGGTTTTTTTTAGTTGTTGTTTTTTTAAGTTTATTTATTTTGAGAGACGGAGAATGAGTGGGGGAGGGACAGAGAGAGAGAGAGAGAGAGAGAGAGAATCGCAAGCAGGCTCCATGCTATCAGCGTGGACATGTGGGCTTAAAGTCACAAACCATGAGATCACGACCTGAGCTGAAATCAAGAGTCAGACATTTAACCGCCTGAGCCCCCCAGGCGCCCCAAGATGTACTGTTTTCAAGCCACTTGAGCCTTAGGGTAATTTATAATCCAGCAGCAGATAACCAATAAAATTCCTTAAAAAGCAGAGGATCCTTGGGAAGTCACCTGAGTCTTCTGAGCCTCAGTTTCCCCTGAGATGTAAATTGAGCCTGTAAATTTATTTTTTTTTATTTTTTTAATGTTTTATTTATTTCTGAGAGAGAAAGAGAGACAGCAGGGGAGGGTCAGAGAGAGAGGGAGATACAGAATCTGAAACAGGCACCAGGTACCAAGCTGGCTGTCAGCACAGAGCCCGACATGGGGCTCGAACCCACGAACCATGAGATCATAACCTCAGCTGAAGGTGGACGCTTAACCGACTGAGCCCCCTAGGCGCCCTGAACCTGTAAATTTAAGGGGAAGGTGTTAATCAAGCAGTACTGGTCTGTTGTTTGCTCACCCCTGCGAGTGGCCTGATCGGCACCAGTGAGGGCGCCTGCCTGATAGACCCTGTCGCTCACCAAATGGAGGTGACCTTGCCACAGTCAACGCAGGTTTTGCCAGAATAACATTCTTGCCCACCCACCCCCACCTTCCGCCTATAAAAGTCTTTCATCTTGTAGAGCTCCTCAGAGCTCCTTTCTATCTGCTAGAGGGGATCCCACTGATCCGGATCAATTTTGCTCAAGCACACTCAAAGAGATTTTAAAGAAACTTCAAATAAATTTTGAACTTTGTGATTTCTTTCCCAAGGTCTGCTCCTGTCCTTAGTGACCAGGAGAAGTGAGAAGCCTCACGTGAACTGGCCTTTGAGCATACGCCATTTTTCTGGGGGAGCAGGGAGACCCCAGCGTCCCCCTGCCCAGCTGTGCCCGTGGGTCCCGCACACACAGGTGTCCACCAGGGCCGGGGCGATAAGAAACTTATCACTGGTCCCTGAGGCCCTTGCACGCTGGAGAAGAGAGGAAGGCAGGGCCCTTCTTAGCAGTAGGGAGTCCTCACCGTGGCCTGGCAGGTGTGCATGCGTGTGCAAGGCCGTGCCACACTCAGGAGCGCTGCCCAGAGTGGGCCCCGGCTCCCCACACACACCTGGCCGAGGGGCACACCAGAGATAGAGAAGGCCAGAAAGTACAAGCTGGGTAAGGCTTGTAAAACTGCCTGAAGTTTGGAGCGCCCGGGGCCCTATCAGTTAAGCGTCCACCTCTTGGTTTCGGCTCAGGTTATGAATTCACAGTTCGTGGGTTCAAGCCCCGTGTTGAGATCCGTGCTGCCAGCTCAGAGCCTACAGCCTGCTTCAGATTCTGTGCCTCCCTCTCTGCCCCTCCCAGGCTCACATTCTCACGCTCTCTCTCTCAAAAAATAAACTAAAAAAAAAAGAAGAAGAGGAGACAAAACTGAGCAGGTAACAGGAGCTGCACACTTTGGGAGACACACGCCACAGGATTCTTCCTATCAAGCCAGTGAACGCACAAAACCCAACAAAAACCGTGGCCAGGGGAGGGCCGGGAACCCAGACCTGGTACGATGTATTATCTAAAATGTCCACTTGGGGGCGCTGGGGTGGCTCAGTCGGTGAAGCGTCCAGCTCTTGGTTTCTTGGCTGAGGTCAGGAACTCACAGTTCCTGGGTTCGAGCCCTGCATGGGGCTCTGTGCTGATAGCGTGGATTCTGCTTGGGATTCTCTCTCTGTCTCTCTCTCTCTGTCCCTCTCTCTCTCTCTGTTCCTCCCCCATTTGCGCTGTCTCTGTCTCAAAATAAATAAACCTTAAAAAATGTCCATCTGTAGAACTGCCTGGGTGACTCAGTTAAGCGTCCAACTCTTGATTTTGGCTCAGGTCATGATCTCACAGTTAGTGGGTTCAAACCCCGACACCAGGCCCCGCAATGACAGTGCGGAGCCTGCTTGGAAGTCTTGCTCTCTACCCCTCCCCCACTTGCACTCATACTCTCCCTCTTTCTCTCTCTCAAAATAAATAAATAAAATATCCATTTGTAAAAATAATAAAATAGCATAAAATAAGATGTCCATTTTGTCAATTAAAAAAATTATGAGACGTGCAAAGAAACAGGCAAGTTTGACCCATATCCTGAACAACAGGAGGGAGTAGAAACTCACCAAGGGGCCCAGGTGTTGGACTTTGTCTCTCTCTTTCTCTCCCTTTCCTTGTGCCACCTTCCAGGGATATGGCCAAGCGTTCACCCTTGATCCTATCCACCTTAGGGGACCAGGGCTCAGGACGAAGTTGTAATGAGAGTACCAGGTGGAAACTATGTCTTTGACCCCCTACAGATGAGGGTGAGTCCCCAGATAAATAGAAAGGTCATTGACGCCAGTCCAGGTTGTATATTTTTTTAAAAAAGGCATTTTAAGAATTTATTTGAGGGGCGCCTGGTGGCTCAGTCAGTTAAGCATCCGACTTTGGCTCAAGTCATGATCTCATAGTCCATGAGTTTGAGCCCCGCATCGGGCTCTTTGCTGACAGCTCAGAGCCTGGAGCCTGTTTCAGATTCTGTGTCTCCCTCTCTCTCTGCCAGTCCCTGCTCGTGCTCTGTCTCTCAAAAATGAATAAACGTTAAAAAAATCTTATTTGAGTAAAAATTGTTGAGACGGGCGTGGCACCAAACAGGAAGTGGTTAGGAGGCCCGGCCAGGAGCCAGGGACAGAACTTGGAGAAAGTGCAGAGCAGAGAAAGGAAATCATTTACAGACTAGGATTTTGGGTTGCTTATGTGGGTCCCCAGGGCATTACAGCCACATCAGTCTAGTGCTCTCCTTGTTTAAATAGAACAGTGGACACCCTTAAGGTGTCTGTCCCCTTTGCTTCAGAGGGAGAGCAAAATACAGTACCTCAAAATACGCCACCTTGGTACGTGGGTTATTTAGAAGTGAAGGCAATCAGAACCCAGCAACCCAAGAAAAACTTTTACCTTGGGGTGCTGTGGTGGCTCAGTCGGTTAAATGTCTTGATCTTGGTTCAAGTCATAACTCAGGGTTCATGAGAACACAGCGCCTGCTTGGGATTCTGTCTCTCCCCCTCCCCCACTCACTCTCTGGAGCACTCTCTTGAAAGGAAGGAAGGAAGGAGGGAAGGAGGGAAGGAAGGAAGGAAGGAAGGAAGGAAGGAAGGAAGGAAGGAAGGA